TAAAAGACAAAAAAATGCAGCATTATTTAAATAAAAAAAAACAAAGCAAAAAAATAAAAACTTTTACTTATCATCATCTGTATCTTTCTTATTATCAACTGTAATTTTTTATCATCATCATTATCATTATCGTCTAAGAGCAAAGAATTATCATCTACCAGTTTATTTATACCTACTTTGGTTATATCTACTTGGTTAGGTGAGCCTTCATCTAAACTAACTTGAACTATTTCAGATTATTAATAAAAATAAAATAAAATTTAGCTAATTTGAAATATTGTGATTTAATTTAATTAAAACTAAGTTGCCTTGATTCTCAATAATCTTCAAAATAGATCTAGCAAGTATTTATAATTAAATAGATTTAATTAATTATATAATATTAAAATTAATCTAAATAATATTAAAAATTTTAAATACATTCAAAACTATTTGAATTTTTATAATAAGTCGAAGTTCCACTTGGTCAAATTTCAAGATAGTTAACTTTTTATAGCAGCTTTTACTTACCTCAGTTCCGCAAGAAGATTCAAGGCTTGTATTCTTTGTTGTTTACTTCTTATAAGATTTCTTCGCAAATTTCTTTGAGGTAAAAACCTAAAAACTTATTACTTATTTTTAAAAAAAGTTATAAAAAAACTTAAAAATAAGTTAGTAGTATAGTATATAGTAAATAAAAATCAAAAGACTTAAAAAATTTAAAAGTAAATCAAAAAAACTAAAATAAATCGAAAGATTTAGTAGCAAAAAAAATTTGAATGTAAAACAATTTTAAAAACTTGAGTAAACTTTGAATTATTTGATTTTGTTCGAATAGTTGCGAAATGTTTAAATTGTCACAACAATGTTGATTGTAGATCTAATTATATTCTATTTATAGTAAATACTTGGCATAGTGATCCAAATCAACTAAAATTTTTTAGTTGACTAGTAAGTCAACTAATTTTATGATTAGTCGACTAGTTGTATATTATATGAAGTAAATACTATAAATTACAATTTTTATCAGTAACCATGAGTTTTTTCAAATTTTATGTGAATGGAATTTTGGCTCACATTATAAAATTTCGGCCAGTATTATAGCAGATTACTGCTAATGCGGGCCAGAATTATGTTCCAAAATATTCCAAATACATGCACAACACTATATAGTCTATATATTTATTATTTTTATTTTTAGTTGATTTTTAGTCGACTAATAAAATTTAGTCGAATAGTTGATTTTAGTCGACTTAGTCGACTAAAAATTAGTCATTTCCTATTACTAACTTGGCACTTATCATGTGATTTTATTTTATTATAAATGCAAATTATTGAACTTTTTCAAATTCCGAAATATTTTTATATATTTAAATAGTTTGATATAATTATATTATATTTGGATTAATTCGAATTATTTGAAATAATATAGTCAGGCATTTTTCAAAATTCGAAGATCACTTCTAGAATAATCTATAGTCATGCTCGACATGTGATTGGCGTTTGATAATCTTTTTTTAAAGAGAATTTGTGACATTCTATTGTTCTAAAGGTCAAATCTATTTATCGAAATACATATTTTCTAATACGTAGATTTAGAATCTGCGAGGATCCCAACGCCTTAATAAATTAGTTTTTTCTTAAATTAAGTTTAAAATTACATATATTTTATAGATCAATTAACATGGATCCGAAACCTGAGGCCAAAAATCTGCCCTGCATATTCACCTCTTTTGCTGAATTCTATTCAACAAGTGACTTATTAAAACATATAGGGAAGTGTAAGCCAGAAGAGCAGCAACATTGGCAAAATGCGTCAGCTAGTGCATCAGTCAAAAAATTATTAGAAATTGCTAAGTATTTTTCTAAAATTACTTTATTTTTTGACTCTTTAGATTATTATTCTATGTGCGAATAGCACTACAACAATATTGTTGCCAAACCTTTCTTTATTAATAAATTAAAAAAAGCAACTAATTTAATTTCTTCACATTCAGAAGAATTAGAAAGAAAAAAAGTAAAACTTTTTAACAACGAAGAACCTTTCAAGGATTTTGAGTCCCATGTATCTTTTCCAGATCCAACATGTAAAATTCTTCAAAAAAGAATTGATGAGTTAGAAAGCTTAAATAGTCAATTGTTAATTGAAAATAAAGCATTAAAAAAAAAGCTAAATGAGAGATTTACTAACCAACAAGATCACATCTTTTCTGTAATAGAAATTGCAAAAAAAGAACGAAGCAATTTATACGACGATATTCTAAACTTAATGAAAGACTAGAAGTGGTTTAGTTTAGATAGTCTTTTAAAGTTTTCCACTTCCAAATGGCTTGCTGAACGGAATCCGGTTGTCGTAAAGTTTATAGAAACTCTCACGTATAATGAAAATGAACATAAACCTAAAGGAGAAAAGCTTTTTAAGTATGCGGTAGCTATTGATGCTATATATGGATCACGGCACTTAAAATATGTATCTGCAATTAATTTGGCCGCTTCAGCAGTTAAGTATTCATTAGCTAGATCAAAAATGATTATTGATATTGATAACCATATTATTAGTTCTGGTAGTTATTCTAAGTTTACTAATTGGTTAGAAAGTCTGGCCATAGAACCACCACCACTTCCTGAAGGTCTTTTATTTTTAGCCTTCGACAATAAGCAAAAGGGTCAAAAAAACTATTTAGATCGTGGACATAATACGGTCATATTTCACACTGTTACAAGCTTTGTTGCTTTTAATTACGATCAAAGCAACAATATTCAGACTACAGACCCTTGGCTATGTTTCGAACCTACTCAAAAACAATATGAGGAATTATTTTACTTAACATTGGGTATGAAAGACGAAATTCATGAGGAACTTCTTCTTAAGAAAAATCAGAAAACAAATATGATTGATGACTTGGTAAACTCTCAAAGCCGGATGGGAAGTATGAAAAAATGCACTTTTTGTCAAGCCACTGATATCAATAATAGGAAACGGGTTTGTCCAAATTGTCATAATAAATTGCCTACGATTAGTAAGATGAATCAACAATTTAATAAACTACCTACTATCAAAAATATTACTAACAAGTCTCTAGTTATCTGTCCTTATAGATTTAAAGAATCAGATGCACAAAGATCATTTCCAGAAGTTTACAAGCCACAAGTAATTGTTCCTGATCCGATAGGAATTAATCCCAATTCGATCGCTAATGTTCGGAAAGTTCTTGAGCACATTGAAGAAATATCTGGAGTTAAAGACAATAAGCGTAAATAGATCGTAGTTACGTGTGATGGAGTACCATATCATCATATACTGAAAATGAAAAGAGATTTTCCTTGGCTTATATTAATTCCAGGTGCCCTTCACGAAGAAATGAATATGCTAAAAGCATTCGTCAAGTTAAATTGGGATATTGACATGAGAGATTTTGCTTATTGTCAAGGGTATCGAACCAAAAATCAACTTCGGTTCTTCAAAAAATGTTCAGATCATCATAAGTCATGGGATTCAGTATGCAACATATATAGGCATGCAATAGCATCCGAATTGATGTGGCCATACATCCTTCATGAAAAGGATCCTTCTGTCGAAGATTATTTAAAATGGGTCCAAGAACAAACTGATCCCATGTATAAGTTAAAGTATGAACAAATTTTTCTTTATTTGCAAGCAATTATTAACTTTCGTACTGGAGCTCGTTTTAATAGGTCTTTACTAAGACTTGTAGCTAGAAGAACGTTTGCACCTATTTGGTCTGCTCGACAGCATTCAATTTATCAATTAATCGAGATTTATGATGAAGAGCAAATGTTACGATTAAAGCCTGAAGTTTTCAATTTAATCCAAGAAAGAATCATAACCTCACGATCGAAACTTCCAAATCAACATCAAGGCCACGATGCAATACTTGAAGAAATTAATAGAGCACTCAAATCATTAATTCCCCGATACCTTCACAACGACATTGGGAAATTGCAGCATGTAATTGTACTAAGTTTTTGAAATTGTGTACTAATCTTTTTAATCTAATAGGATATTCTAAAAGTGATACCCAAGAACCTCAAACACATTCTAGTTTTACTACTGAATCAAGTCGCTATCGGGCTCAAATAAGAAAAACCCAATTCGTAAATCCAAAATCTAATAATCGTATTTTTTAAAATATAAGTGGAGAGTGGAAAATAAGTGAAGAGATGAAACGATTTAGTGAAATTGCACGTATGAAAAGAATTGAATTTATAAAAGCTAAACTAATTAACAAAACAGCATTAGATATTTGGCATCCAATACCAATAACATGTGAAGAGGCAGATCATCAAAAGAATGAAAGCTCTTTAAAAAAGTCAGAAATCTTATCCATTATTAACTCTTTAATTCATTCTTTAGGTAATTCTGATCGTTTGCATTTCCGAAGTTTATTGAATAAATCCTATAACGACTTAATAAATATTTCTCAAGAGATTAGAAGTGTATTGGCCAAAAATGACATTAATATTAATAGTGAAGAATAAAATAGGCGGGGGCTTTGGTTAATATTTGTAATTATAATTCTCCAAAATGTATTTATAATAAAATCAAAAATTATCAATAAAAGTTTATTTTATTTATTACAAATTTTTTATTACATCTTTATTTTATAATTTTTGTTACATTTCTATTACATAATTTTTGTTGCATCTCTACTACATATATTGATGTATTCAATTCACTTATTGCAATATTATTGCTTTAAAATTTCTTCAAAATCACGACTGAAATTCTTTCAACACTCGAACAATCCAGCAGATGTGCCACATTTCGCCATTGTAATATTTATAATTTCTCTCATAATAATTCTGTATACCTATTAACTTTGTAATGCCTCGAGCATTATGCTCTACGTCTATGTTCATCTTCAAATTCTGTTGACTATTAATCTAATAAAAATAAATGTTAATACTGTAATAATGACAATTTATACGCCTCATTTGCCATATCCACCACCAAACCGTTTTTGTTCATCTCAGACTCTATAAGAATAAAAATTAGTACAGTATTGATTCCGGAAAAAAAATAAGATCCAAGAAGACTTCTATTATCCTCAAGAAAGTTATTGATCCCAACTTGCATAAATATTGAACCAGTTCTATCTTCTATTATTGAGTTTCACTGCTTTTTCTGTATTATTCTAAAAGAATTACTGAATTAAATCGGTAATAAAACAAAAATAAAAATAACTAGTACTTATCTTTAAAGACAAGACCCGTAGTTTAAAGAGCCGTGGCAACGACAGATCAAGAGCTAATCCGTTCGAAATGCTGAAATGGAGAAGTCTTTAAGAGAAGTGCACTCAACTGGACCTAAAGAAAGAAGAAGTTAGAAAAAAAAATAACCGGGTATAAAGTAAGAAGATAAAGAACCTTATGCACCTATAACAAAGACCATAGTAATCTTCTACCAAGTCAAAATCTAGAAAAAAACGAAGCTTGAAAAATAAAAGAATCGCTTTCTAGGAAAAATAGCCTCACCCCGGCAATAAGAAGAGAAAAATGCAAATCTTCAAAATTAAATTCAAGACAATTACAATATTAGTGACGAAAGATAGAAAACGAAAGTATAGATTCTAATTTCTAAATTTTATTGGCTAATTATTGTAATACGCAGAACAGTCTAGAAAGAAATCTAGAACAATCCAATTAGTAATCATTACTAAATAAAGGTGCAATCGTCAGTTACCAAATATGGTAATATTCCTGACTATAATATAAATAAATATTTTACTACTACTATTCATAATAAAACTTAAAATAATATTAATATAACAAATTTAATTTATATATATTAATTATAAATATTTTGCATATGTTTTAATAAATTCGCAATAATTCGAATAGAGTTAAATTTTACTAACTACAATTAAGAAAAATTAAAGTAATTTGAAATACTATGTATTAATTTAAATTATATTGAATACAAATCAAATAGTTTGAAGTTAATAAATATTATTCAGTATGTTATTTCGGTCATAATAGTAGTTAAATCATCAAAATTGGATCAATATTCATTAAGATAGCTCAATTAAAATTTATATATAATATAGTATATCGAAACATATTTAAAAAATGCGAATTTTTTTGAAAATTTTTAATAAAATTTGTAATTTTTTTTAATAAATACTATTAAGCATGTTTTCCGGTCATAATGATAGTTAAATCATCAAAATTGGATCAATATTCGTTAAGATAGCTCAATTAAAATTTATATATAATACAGTATATCGAA